TTTCTTTTATATAACTAAAACAACTCTAATTTCTTTAACCAGACTCACTCTATACATTTAATAATGTGATAAAGTATATTCATTAAGATTGGCAAGCAAAGTAACTTTTTTTTTTTTTTTGGAAATCAATTTAGCCACATGCATCAGCAGACTCAAAAATAAATTTCACCCACTAATCCCATTTCTAAGAATACTATGGTAATGTGGTGCTAAATCAAATATAAATACATTATTTGTTACAGTAAAAAAAAAAAACCTACATTAAGAATAAATTTAGAGATGTATGGACTACCACATGGCACTCAAGAAAGCTTACCAAACTTTCACTAGTGTGGGTGATTTTATTTTTGCAACTAGGCTTCTGGTAAAGATAAAATAGTAATAGACTTCAATACTACCTTTTCTAAGCCTTGAATTATGTGCTTGCAATGCCAGATACATAAACATCAGCATGCATTCAGTAGAAATTAGGTCTAAGTTTATCCAGGAAAATGATGAAGTATTTCAATAGCAAACATTTCCAACTTAAGACAGCAACCAAATCAAGTGTTTGGTCAAAGGTATTTTACAAGGGAGAGAATGGGAGAAAAATCATTGGAAATAAACCTTAAAAACTGTTTACCTAATTTCAGCTGACCAGTCTATGAGTCCTTAAATGCCAGGATGAAGAGCTCGTATGTTATTCTACAGTGACAAGGTTCTATAAAATAAAAACTTTCAGGCTGGGGATTTAGCTCAGCAGTTCAGTGGCCTGCCTTGCAAGCGCAAGGACCCAGAGTTCAATCCCTGGTACAAAAAAAAAACAAAAACAAAAAAACTTTCAACAAAAATAAATGATTACGGGCTGGGTGCAGTGGGGAGGTACCTACAGTGGAAGATAAATGGAGTGCTGAAGCAGGAGGATGGCTTGATCCCAGGAGTTTGGGACCAGCCTAGACAACATGTAGCGGCAAACTGTCAGCCAGAACATACAGACAGGTAGTCCAGGAGAATGGAAGATGCACACAAAAGTTTTGGAGGCAGAGTGTACAGTTTTATTCTTAACACCAGCGGGTCAATCTGGGACTTCTCCACAGAGAGACCAACCCCGCTTTGGGGTCCAGCAGGGGCCTGGTATCCTCTCGGAAGGGGGTGGGCTTGCAGGAGATAAGCACTTTGCATTAGTTATACAGAGCACAAGTCTTTTGGGCCCAGCAAATTCACCAGTTATCAAATATTACAGACAACAAGCTCAGGGTAGAGCCACATCCCATTTACATTTGGCAGGGAGATAGAAGTAATAAAACTGAGAACAAAGAAAATTCCTGGGATGTTTCAGAGGAAGTGTCCAGAAGCTCGGACATGTTGGAATGGGGGAAAACTTTTCCAGCAGTAAATCTGGCTTGAATCGCAGAGAAACATGTTCCATTCAAACACAGCAAGATCCCAGCTCAAAGTTGGAGGAGAGCGGGGAGGCTGGGATTCAGAGAGAAGGGAGAGGCAGAGACAGAGGAATGACGACAAAAAGTACCTATATAAAATTAATATGGCAGCAGCTGGGCACGCAGCAAATGCCTATAATCCCAGTCCTTGAAAGGCTGAAGCAGAAGGCTCACAAGTTTGAGCTTAGCCTCACCAATTTAGCAAGACTGCTAAAAAGGGCTGGGGACACAGCTCAGTGGCAGAGCACTTGCCTAGTATTTGTGAGGACCTAGGTTTAGTCCCTCACTACCAAAACTGGGGCAGGGGTTAAGCTGGCAACAAGAATATAATACAGTCAGAGTAGTTCTTCAAAGTCTTCTCATTCAGCTCCCTCAGGATGGAATGCAGCGGAGCCCCAGGAGACAAAGAGACAAAAGGCTAGGCTGCTGCAACGATCTGGTTTGATTTGAAGAGATAATGAGCTGAACTAGCATGGTAGAAACCAGAATAAAAAGAAAGGATTCTGGGCCTTGAAATTAACAGTTTTGCTAACAACTCCAACCTTATAATCTAAATTCTTTCTATAAACATTTTTTTTCTTTTTAAAATTTGTTTTAATGTAATACAAGTAGATATTAATAAGGAAAAATTTAAAAGCTCTCATACTTCCACGAAAACCTAAAAACTTCCTAACAAAATAATTTGAGAATAACAATAGTTAAACACTGTGTAACATGATCTTAAAAGAACAGCCAATATGTTACTCAGAGTACAAGTCATAGACAAAAAAGACTCTCTGTTACTAAGAAACAAACAAATGAAAGGATTAAACTTTCTTTTAAGGAACAAAGAGAAACTGGTAGCATAAATCTTGAGAAGGACCAGAGGATGTTTGGAGCAGGATGTGTACCTATCTGTTTCCCTAATAGAACACAAGGGACAAGATTACTGTCTACAAGCCCTTGGCATTAGAGCAGTCATTGTTATCTTCAACTTTCCTATTCCATTCATGAAATTATTTTAGTCTGTGTACTTACTATTTATATAAAATTTAGTGTTATTTATCTGCTCTGATCTTTCAGAAAACGTTCATAGTTATTTGTGAATAAATTACTCTTAACTCATTCCACAGAGATTTAACAAGCAGGAAAAAGCCCATTAAGTTTTAGGGTAGATGTATACAATAGGTTTTTGTTTTGTTTTTTGGACTAGGGATCAAACTCAGGACCTTGTGCTTTTCAGGCAAGCCCAGGCGAGGTGCCACTAAGCTAAACCCCTGGCCAAATAGGGTTGTCACACAATAGTCCAGCATCTCCCAAGTCACCCAGATGCCACTCACCATACTGAAAAATCTCTTTTGTGCTACTAAATATTTTACATCTCTCTAAGCAATGTTCATGTTTGATCAGTTCCTCCAAACTGGGATGAATCACAGCTAATATATCATTAAAAGTGACATGCACGTAGGTAACCTGAACCAAGAGATTTGGCTCAAGGTTTAAAACAAACACTTAGTTTGTTCCAGTTTGATATAAATTTTTTGCTTTGGTTCATGTTAAATGAATTAATCTTCACTGGACTTTATATAAAGAAAAAGCTTTCACACACTATTAGAATCCTTCTGACTTTTGATCATTCTTGGTGAATGCTGTTTCAAAAGCCCATTGATAGCCAGAGGTGCATAATCCTGTAAATGTACTAAAAACCACTGAATTGGACACTTCACACAGGTAAACTTTATGTTATATGAATTGTATCTACTGACACTTGTTATTTTTAAAGTCCACTGTGAATGAACAACGCTAAGTAATAGTCCAGACTGTAGTTAGTAATCAAAATGACTCCTTCCTGAAGCTATCACTACAATAAAAATATGGAAAAATCAAAGTAATACCTGTTGAGCTTTAGTAAAGGGATGCTGGAGATACATACGGACAGATACCACCCTAGGAACATAAACTGAACCTAAGAGTCCACTGAGGGAAACTAACTCTCAACAAAAACTGGTCACCATGAACTTACAGATAACTAAATCAATTATATTTACACACATCATGGCCAAAGTCTAAGCACATGTTAAGAGCTTCAAGTCTAAGAAACATGATGCGTTTTTTCGTTTACAAAGGAATAAACACTTTTTTCTTAACACTTAAGTTTCACTGTTAGACTACCTATAGTCAGTCCTCCATAATTTATAACACAGATTACAGATATAAAAAGTTGTAACTCAAAGATTAGTAAGTAGATACTTTATGGGAGGAATTGGCAAGTGACACACAGAGAGGCAGCAGAATGGAAGTAAAATAACAAAAGTTTACTCCATCCATGGGGATTGATCACACCTAATTGCAGTGCCCTGATCAATCCAGTACTGGGCTACAACCCTCCCTCCCTTTTATAGGGTTTTATGGCCTTGATCTCATTCAGGAGGTTGTTGCATTTTCACAGTACATCCTGCTGATATTCAAAACATGGTGGCAGTGGGGAGGCAGTTGAATTTCAACCTAGAAGCTGCACTTCTTTGATAAGGGAGGTTACCTTTAAAATTAATTTAGTTATCTATTCTAGCCAAGGGGAAGGGAGAGAAAGGGGTGTGTTTGGTCAGCAAAGCTAACAATGGTTCTTTTCATTTACAAAACTTTTGAGCTAGACTAGATGCCTCAAGTGCCAGTTAATTCTGAACTAAACAGAGTAAAGGGCAGAAGTTATCTTATGTAGGGTTTTTGCTATTAAAGTTTTGCCTATCAGATAAGCTTACATATACATTTATAAAATTATAAAAGAGTAAAACCTAGAAATTACAAACTCCTTTAATGTATAGATAGGAGAACTGAGACTTAGAGGAGTTAAAGGTACTGTTCAAAGAAACAACTAGGGCTGGGGATTTAGCTCAGTGGCACCTAGCTTGCCTCACAAGCACAAGGTCCTGAGTTCAATCCCCGATACTGAGGGGGGAAAAAAGGAACAACTAGTACATGGCAGAGTCAAACTAAGACAAGTCTTCTGGAGTACTCACAGGCAGAATTTCTTAAAGCCTGCAAAATTTTAACTTTAAATTGACTTTTCTTTTTCCCAAAAGAATAAGTATTACTCAAAAACATCTTCAAGGAATAAAAATGTTAAATAGCCCTGTTTAAATTTCAAAATAGTTTCATTAAATATATTCTGAATTCAAAACTAAAAATTGTTAGAACTATAGAAGATCAATACCTCTGAAAATAGGTTTGCTAAAAGAGCAATTTTGGGGGGGGGCTTTTTTTTTTTTGGCTTTTTGAGACAGGGTCTCACTATGTAGTTGAGACTGACCTGGAACTCACTATGTAGCCTAGGCTGGTCTCAAACTCACAGAGATCCTTCTGCCTCAGCCTCCCAAGTGCTGGGATTACAGGAGTGTGCCACCAGGCCCAGCCTGAGGGGGAGCTTTTTGAGGCAGGGTCTCCCCTTTGTATTCCAGAATGGCCCTGAACACACTAGTAGCCCAGGCTAGCCTGAAACTCAAAGTGATCCTCCTACTTCAGCCTCCTGAGTGCTAGGATTTCAGGTGTATGCCACCATGCCCAGCTAAGAGTGATTTTTTGATAATCCTTTTTTTTTTTTACCTTTAGCCATGTCATACTCCTTCATCATTTTGAGAAAGTTGGAAATTTCCGTATCAAGTCTCTGTTGACATGCTTGTGCTTTCTGGAAAAAATTAAGAAAAAAAGTTAAATGAATAAAGAAATTTTACATTATTTATGCTTTAATGTTTCTCCCCAAACTTTCATGGACTGATTCCTTATAAAGGGGAAAAAAGTGAAAAACAATTCCCTTAGAAATTGAATATAACATTTCATCAAGTAGAGATTAATAAAAATAAATATTTAATTCTAAATACATTCAACATCTGTTATGTATATAACAAAACACATTTAACACAGCTCTCTTATCATTCCATGTATACTGAAGAATTCCATTTCTCTGATTAACTTACATTAGGTATTATTAACTTCATCAAGAAATTATAAAGATTGTACTCTAAAACCTGTCTTTGTTTTTAAAAGTTCCAGATGGTCGTAACATTTGGAAACCACAAGCTGAATTTCGTTCGGCAATCTAAGCACACACTGCCTCCACACAAATCAGACCAGTAACAATATTTTCTTAGTTTGTCAAAGCTTATGAAAGAAGGTAAAATCCATTCTAGAAAGCATTCTTGCTTGGAACTTCAAAGTTCTACATAGTTAGATCCCTAAGAACAAAACAAATACAGAATTATATAATGCAAGTGCATCCCATTTTAGGACAAATCTGCCAGTAGAAGATGAAAATTAATGTCATATTAAATTTAGAATATGTGCTGCCGAAGCAAGCACATATTAAATTTAGTTTTAGACATGATTTCCCTTTAAAGTGACAAAAGTAAGATTTTAATTGTAAATTTTCTTGGTTATGGCAATTGAAAACATTTATTCTGAAAACCTGGACCTTACAAATATCAGAATCACACTGCTCTGAGTAATATATTTGGCCTCCTTTGTACTCTGAATCACAACTAGTCCATCATAAAACATTTTGCTAACCCCAAATTAACCTACTGTAGATTAAGTGCCAAGGTAACACAGGTAAGCACCCTTTTCTCCAATTCCACCTTATAAATATTTTAGTGCTTATGAAGCTCAGTTCAACCACTGCAGAATTATTCATGGTACATTAGTGACAGTCAGTGTTCTCCTGCAAACTTGCATTATTCTGCTTTGAGGGTCCTAACAACATTTAACTATAACTTGTTTGTTTTTTTGAAGAGGTAGTGTCCCTGCACTATGCAATTCAAAACACCATAAAAGAGTATTGGTATGCAAGGGAATTTTTTCAGACATAGCCTGTGCATACAAGTTGAAGGCAGGAAAAAGGCAGAGCTGGAAAGAGGCACTGAAGCACTCATGCCTCACCCATGATTTATTAATAGAAAATCATCATTCTCAGTCTATACATATTTAATATTCTTGCTCACGTGAAAGTCAACACCAGTTTTCTCTTTTCCTTTACAAGGTAAAGGCTAGACTTATAAAAGTGAGCGCCAGCTTCATTTGCAGACTGAATCTGTAATAAGCAGTACAGTTTCTGAAATTACAAAGGCAGGAAACACTCTCCATAGCATCATTTTCAAATTTTGGAATCACATTCATCCTCCCTTAGCCTGACAGTAAAAAACAAAGCTTCCTTGATTAATGATTTTCTTATTTAAAAAAAGGTACATACAGGTAAACTGGAGAAGAGTCAATCTACATCTACAGTATTAAATTGGGTACATGTGTTTGTTTAAACAATTTAGTGACATTTTACTAACACAAAACAGAGGAGCAAGACAGTAAAACACAACACACTCACCAATTTGCTAGTTAATGCTTATGAAATCTCTGCAGAGTCTGCCATGGTGTCTCATTCTTGACTTCTGTGTCAGTCGCACTGTATCGAGGACTCTAAGTTTTACTTTTTCTTTCTTTAATGACATACAGTAAATGGGACTCCACTATGAGCAATGGTCTAATACTGATGTCTGACAGAATTTAAACTTTCTCCAGGTTATCTGGGCAAAGCACACAGAACAAGCGTCACACCTACAGAGGCCCAAACGATGGGAAGGCAACATGGGAGCAGCCAAGCCACACAGACAACCTTGCTCACCTGTTCCCAGGTCTGTCCACATAGACTTTCACTGCCAGTTGTTGGACTTAAACTGATGTTAAAATAACTCATACAGGGCGAGGGATTTAGCTCAGGGGTTCTGCTGCCTGCCTCGCAAGTGTAAGGACCCGAGTTCAATCCCCCGTACCAAAAAAAAAAATTAAAATAAAATAACTCATACAGACCTATGTGGCAGATCAAAAATACATATCAATGGGATGGGCAGCATGCGAGGAGTGGACAGGGTAAAAGAAAAGTAATTCTGTTATCAGCCATTTAAAGTTCCCAGGGCATTGTCTGGAAATAGGACCCAGGGAGTTTTCCAGGTGACAAAAACATTCTGGCATTTTTCTGTCTTAACATGTTGGGATTGGTGGTGCACATCAACAATTCTAGCGTGAGGATGAGGTAGGAGGATCACCACAAACTCAAGGCCAGCCTGGTCTACCTAGTGAGAGTTCAAGGTCAGCCTGAACTACACAGCAAGACTGTCTCAAAAGGCAAACAAAAAGAAAAAAAAAGATTTGCTATCAACATCTCAGCAGGAATGGTGGTTATACAGGGAATATGCATTTCTCAAAATACATGAAATTGAATATGTAAAATGAATTGATTTTACTGTATAAAGAATTATACCTCAAAAATATTAATTGAAACTTCAAAACCACAGAATATACAATCCTGGCAAGCTTCCTCTTTGCACAAAACACTCATATTACAAGCAGAGGTACCTAGTATTGCTCCCATGATCTTCCTAACTAGCCAAATCCACTTCAAGGTTAGCCTCATCTTCCCTTGCTCTAAGCTAGGCCAGAGATCGATCACACATTCTATTTTAGCATTTTACTGTGGTCCTGCTCTATAGCAATCTTAAATGTTCTACTCTGCAGTAGGCATATACCCAAAAATAAAGATCTAGAGAGAAAGACTTCTCCCCCACATCCCTGACTGGTGTCCTAAAGCCTGTTTTGCCACATTCCTATCCCCAAAGCAACAACTGCTAATTTTTCATCTTACTAGGGAGGCTCTAGGCCAACACAAACATGTCTGTGTACTACCTGGGTTTTTTTTTTTAACCAACGTCACAGCATATTTGATGTCCTATTTTATACCTTGCCACTTGCATTTCACATATCTTAAATATATCAGCACATCTTGGCCTCATTCTTGTACAGATGGACACAACCTTATTGGTCCCATGCTGATACACAGGTAGTGTTCTGCATATTCACTGTAATGATAATGCAGTCTTTAGCAGGGAAAGTTTTATTTTATTTTTTTTCGGTTGGCTAAAATTTAGTGCTATCTGCTCATTATTTCACACAACACAAATGCTGCTCAGATCCTACAGAACAGCGATGGGGAACCTATGCACAGGCACCACAGTGGTTAAGCAGATGCCTCTCTGTCAGCACACGAGCCAAGGTGCCCCAGCATTGCCCCAGCAGCTGAGCATTCAGGGTTTTTATTTTTTTGTAATTAATTAATTTTATCAGTACATTAAAGATATGTAATGTAATGACATTCATCATTGGAAATATGCACCTTTACATAATCCATCTCGGTTCTTGCATTCAAGTTTAATTGCAGTGTTGGCATTTTGTGATAAATAAGTGGGTTTGGGGTTGCAGTTGGGCCCTCAGTCTCTAAAACATTCGCCATCACAGCTACAGAATCAACACATTCTCACCAAACACAGTTCTCACTTTGCTAGCGTCATCTCAAGTATCTAAGAGCAGATCCCAGTGCTATTCACTAGAACTTCCCATGATGACAGATACATTCTATCTGTGGGGCCAATGTGAAAGTCACACGTGCTACTACTGATCACCAGAAATGCATCCGGTTAAAAGAAGGGACTGAATTTTTAATTAATTTACTTGTCAATAGCCATGTATGGGGCCAGAGATTTAGCTCAGTGGTTTGTGAAGTTTGGTACTTTTAAAATATATATATACACATACATATATATATATTTTTTTTTTTTCTGGTTTTGGAGGACCACAGTCTGTAGGGAGGTTAATTGAGACCAAAGTGTCATAAAACATGCTCACTTTTCCTCCTCAATTTCTTATGAGTTTACTTGCAAAGTTATGTTGAGGAGGTGAAATCAATTTTTTAGTTAATTCAGATGATTAGAGAATACCGATCCTAGAATACCTGATTTCTTTAGAGTGTCCACAGAGCACCAAGAAAAAATCTGCCTCATAAATTGGGCCCTAAATTTCCTTGTAACTTAACTGAAGCATCAAAGACATCCTGGAGCCGGCCTACCCCAAGCTATAATTCAACACACTTCAAAGCTCCATTTCAGATTTTACCTATTTTGAACCAGCCTGCAGATGCTGAGGCAGAATCAGTACTCACAGAGGTAGCACCCAGAGCCTGTCGGACAGAGCTATCTATAGTTTGCAAAACTTGGTTATAGCAGCCACTTAACAGTGGCTAAAACAATCACCGGCACCACATTCTATAAATATTAGAAGGCAATAATTTCACAGTTTCAAAATTAACATACGAATAAAACAATCAAATAAGGAATAAAATGCAAGGTATAGTTGAGGTTGGTAACCTAGCTGAAAATTTGAAACTATTGCTAAGAAGAAATCTTTCTTTAGGGAAGTTTAATAGTATACAAATTAGCATGAATGACAACTGACTAGAGCAATGTAAAGTGTTGAACATAAAAGATAAACAGTATTTAAGAACAAATCCGTATCCTTATTTTGCCTGTTGCTTTCATTAAAAAGGTCTTAAAATTACTATAAAGTCCTAGAAATATACTGGTATGCTTTGAAAATCTTTCCAGGTATTATCATTCATCTGATATTGAGGAGAAAATTCACTTAAGGAACATCAACTAAATTTTAAAGCATTTAACACAGTTTTACTTGCTTAACATGATTGCAACCATATATATTTAAATCTTCTCCATTTTCAGTTTTAATATTATTCTAAATGCTCTAGTAGATGTCACTTTAACAAAGTTCACTGATAGGAACCTCGAATCGCTAAAACTCTGGGCAGTAAAAACCTTCAGTAGAGTTTCTTGATTTAGAAACATTTAAATCCCACAACCCATCCATATGCTCTGACATAGTTATTTACACTGAAAATCATCAAGTGCAGTTCTACCTTCCAAACCCAATTCCCATTCTGATAGAGAAGGTGCACTTCAAAGCTACAGCCAGAAACTGATGCCTTCCACCCAGTAAAAATATATCTATCTCATGTCAATGACCATGTGCCGATATTCTTCGGTAGCTGAGACATCGATGTCACCTCACATCAGGGCCTCTCCATTCATTACTGACACTTTACCTCTAAGCAATAAAGTTACAGATTTTTACAGTGGGTTTTCAACAAAACTATTGGCCAAGAAATGTGTCACTATGGTTGCATTAGTTAAATTCTGAAATATGTGGTGAAGTCACAAAGGGCAGCAAGTCAAACTATGCCTGCTCCCCCTACTGGTAGCAGTTTCCATACAGAAGGACAACTGCTGCAGCAATGGGAAGTAACAGGAAAGAATGCACAAGGGCACAGGTCCAGATCCTAGGGCCTGTCTACAGAGACCTCCTAAATACCAACAGAATATGAGGAGACAAAGAGCAGCACTGGTCAGAAATCATAATTCCAAAACCTCATCTCTTAACAAAGTAATTCTCCATTAAAACCTGCATGACAGAGCTAGAGTGAAGGCCAGAGTATGTTCTGTTAACCTGTAAGGATTCCTTCAAATCCACAGCAGAAACTGCATCTTCCTCTTCATCCTCGGTCACCTGGTCCTGGGAACAGTAGTGGGTGCTATAAGCAGAATGCTCTTCGATTGCTTCCAGCCAGTTCTGAGATAACCCAAGGATTTGAATAAAAGTGAAGAAGATTTTTACTCCAAAGAGACAATATGACAATGGTCCATAAAGCATCAGCGTAGAATTTCCATCCTATAATGTTTGATTTCCTCACTTAAAAATTAAGGGGTAGGGCTGGGAATTTAGCTCACTGCCTGCCTTGCAAGTACAAGGATCAGAGTTCGATCCCTGGTACACACACACACACACAAAATTAAGGGGTATACTAAATTATCATTTAGCTTTCTTCCCCGAAGTCAATAGGGACCTTCCACATTCAAAGAATCAAAATAAAAAACAAATTATGAACAGAAAATACCTACAAGTGCTTGTTGATAAAGAACTAATTCATAAGTCAAATTTTAAGCACTTTATATAATTGTTCCCACTGAAAAAGTAAAATCAACAAGATCTTAGAATAAATATTAACATCATGTCTTTAAATGTCCTTTAAGTTTTAGGGAAGAGAAATGAATCCAGAGATTACCTCCCGCGACTGCTGAAGGCTGTTCTTAGGAACCCTGAAGCCATGAATGGTGTCATCAAAGCATTTAATAAAGAAGAGGCAGCTGTCACTGGACTTTACCTTAGACAAAAGAAATCAGTCAGACAACACTCACTCACAAAAGAAGATCCTACAATTACCAATACATAAAACTTGAAGTAATAACAAGACTTAATAATACTCAAATACAGTGGTACCTTGGTTCATGAACTTAATTTGTTTTATGATTTGGGGGAAGATGGTTGCTTTTGGATCACCTTTTGGATGTTTTGTCTGTGCTGATATGGAAAATGTTTCAGCTTAGCACAGAATAATGAGGTTAGTAAAGACAGGGGAAGGGAAAGAGTAAGAAATGGTTTTCAAATAAAAAACTGGAAAGGGAGAAGACAAGAATAGAAAAGGATAGGCTTCTGCCTCAAGACTCTACCAGAGGACACTCCTTGCAGAAAACAAACACAAAACTATTTTTTGAGGCTCCTCACTCCCCTTAGATGAAACGTCGGCACATGAAGAACATAGAAAGTGAGCAACCTTTGATAAGCTGTGGGGAAGCACTGTTCTCTAGGAGGAAATGGAAAAGAGGAGCTGTGGAAGACCAATGGCCTGGGTGAGGGACTGAGAGCAGCGCACCTAGTGTGCCAATAGAAACAAGGGCCTGCGTGGAAAATAGCCTGTCTGTCTTTGGGAATTAATCAAGCAAAACTGGGGAGCCACAAACACCAAAGAGAGCTGAGGAATTCCCCAAGAAAAAGAGACAGATGAGGTGGCCCCAAAGTCTGTATCCTCACATTTCTAACCGATCCATGAACCACACATGTTCAATCATTCTCGGTGGAGGCCAGATCCACTGCCTAAGACAGAGTTTAGAATCCAAACGAAGCCAAGAAAATATCTTGCTAAAACAAAGGAAATAGCACTTAACAAAAAGCAGAATCCAGGATCTCTAGAACTTAACATTGATAATATTAAGGATACAATCCACATTAACTCACATATAAGGAAGTAAGAAAGCAGAACACATTTGCAAAAGAAAAATGCAAGACCAAAACTGTCAGCAAGGATAATAAAGACTAAAATATACACTACCTCCAAGAGAAAGAAAATATAAAGATACAGATAGATTCAAAGTAAACAGATGGAAAGTCATCATGGAAACAGTAAGAAAGCCACATTGGATATATTGACATCAGGCAAAAAATTTTCAAAAATGGATTATAAAGAATATCAACATGTTAATCAGGAAAATAGTCATATATATGTGATCAATAACATCAAGAAATATACAATCACACAAGCATGGTTACAGATTTTTAACACCTATCTCAGTAACTGATGCAACTAGCTAAAAATCAGAAAAGACACAGAAAATCTGAATTACACTATGACCACTCTGAATTAATATTTATAGGACACTGCACTCAACCAGTGCATGTATGTATTAGGACAATACACAAGTAGAGCTGTTAAACAAATACTGGTGATTCTGACAAGATGCGAGTCATACAGTGAATGTTCAATGACCAACATGGAATCATATTAAATCAAGAACAAGATAACCAGGGACCCCCAGTTATTTGGGAATTAAACTCACTAAATCCAGTGGTATGAAAGAAAAACAGGTACAAAGGGAAAAATATAGCTTTAAGGGCCACATTAGTAAAGAAGATAGGTCTCAGTAATCTAAGCGTTAGCTTTAAGAAACTATAAAAGAGATAAAGTTAAATCCAAAGCAACAAAAAAATGTTAAAAAGTAAAACAGGAAACAAAAACAATAGAAAGATTTTTGTTTGTTTGTTTTGTTTTGTTTTTTTGAGACAGGGTCTCACTATAATTGAGACTGACCTGGAACTCGCTATGTAGCCCAGGCTGGTCTCGAACTCACGGCAATCCTCCTGCCATGTTGGGATTACAGGCGTGCACCACCACGCCCAGCTAGAAAAAATTTATTGGAACCAAAAAACTAGTTCTTAGAAAACATCAATAAAATTGTAAAAGTACTAGGCAGCTTTAAAAAAAAAGAAAATTATCCATGTAAGAACTGAAAGATGGTACAACATTAGCATACCAATATCAGAACAACAGTTAAGGGCATAATGTTAACAGTAAGTCTGAAAACAGCCATGGAAGAAGTTTAACTTATAGTCTGTTATGGCTTGTGTTTAGATGTTCCCCAAAGTCTCATGTTTTCTCAGAGGTGGCTGCATCTAGAGTGTGTGATTTACTCATGGTGGGGGGAAACTAGGATTAAGGGCATGAGTGCTACCTGCCCAAAGTAGCCTGAATAAAAATAAAGGAGCAGACAAGTGCTGTTGTATTTCCTTGTTACTTCTGCTGTCTTCCTCCATTATGAACAGTTGCCCCTCTGCAACCCTGTCTTGGAGCTGGCCGATTATGGACTGAAACCTCTATGAAATGTAAGCCAAATAAACCTTACCCCTTTAACTTTGGATGTCAGGTATTTTGTCTCAGAAAGCAGAGAAAACTAACCAACACATTCCCACAAAATAAACTCCGGGCTCATGTGGCTTTGTGGGTGAATTCTATCAAGCACTGAAGGAAAAAATAAACCCAAACTGGGCCAGTGATGTAGCTCAGCGGTGCCATGCCTGCCTGGCAAGTAGAACGTCCTGAGTTCAATCCTCAGTACCACAAAAAATAAATAAATAACCCCAAATCTATGTAAATTCTCCCAGAAAACTGGAAAGCAAGGAACACTTTTCCTTTTATAGCCAAGGCCAGTGTTACTTTGGTTCCAAGGTCATACGAAAAAAAAAGTCACAAGGAAAACAACTATAAACCACTATTCTGCACAGAGATGAAAAGCCCTTAACAAAACATTATCAATATATTAAAAAGATACTATATGATAACCAAGTGAGATTTATCTCAGTGTACACTAGTTTATTAACAATCTAAATTCCGTCACCATGTCACTGTATTAATACTATGAGAAAAGTCATACAAATGATATCAATAAGACAGAAAAGGGACTTAAAATTTAACATGATGCAAACTCTCAGCAAAGTAGGAAATTAAAAGAACTTCAATCAGATTAAGGCACCTAGGGAAAGCCTACAGCAAATCACTTGATGGTGAAAGGCTAAATGCCTTAATGCTTTCTACTTAATACAGCAAACAAAACAAAAATGTTGACTCATCAATTATATGGAAATTGTAGTGGATGTCATATCCAGTATAATAAAGGATGAAAAAGAAACGACACACAGATTAGAGAGAAATACTGCAATCCTTATTTGTAGACAACATAATTGTATATTTATAGAAGAGTCTGAGAAATCTACAAAATAGCAAAAGTATTAAGTGGATTAGTAAGGGAATATAGCATTTGCTAAATACTAAAAATAATTATATATACTAGCTGCAAAATATTAGATGAGACGTTGAGAAATTTCAGTCTCTATAACAGCTTCAATAATAAATGCATAATAAATTTAAACAATTATAAAACATTAGAAAATTAAAGATTTCAATCAGTGGAGATATATGCAGTATTTATAGGTTTGTTTCAATTTACAAAGACAGCAAAGCATGTACCCTAAGCGAATGTATAAATTCAACACAATTTGAATCAAAATGAGCACTCCGGGACACTAAAGACTGATCAAAGATATATCTACTGGAGTAACCCACTTTCCAGTCCCACTTCTGTCTCAGAAGTTATCTTTCTCTCCATAAAGTTTTTCTACTCTTTTCTTAAAAAAAAAAAAAAAAGATATATTTACCTTTTTTTTTTTTTCCTTTTTTGGGTACCAGGGATAAAACTCAGGACCCTTGCACTTACGAGGAAGACTGCGGAACCACTGAGCTAAATCCCCAGCCCTAAAGATATATTTAAAAAACTAAAGCGCTTATTCCAAGAAACCTACCCAACCTACTCAGTAAAAACAGTAGATGATGGTGGAGTTTTAGTGTAAGATTACTCTAGCCCCTTCTCCCTGACTCTATGAAAAATTTTACAATAAAGGGCAAGCCCTAAAGTTTAGGGCTAAATTTATTTAGAGCAAACCACTGAAAATTTCATGCCAAGAGGTACTGTCATAAACAGTGATCTCAGCAGCAAACAATTAGGAAAAGGCTAGCATCACAGCATTATGTGTTCTAGATACTATTTGGGGCAAGCAACAAACTGGTCGGAAGAGAGCCAGAATTTTAAAGCTCTTGTAAATATGTTTTAAAACTAAAGGAAACCACGTTTAAAAAAAAATTTTAATTTACTGTCATCAAATATAAAACATCAATAGAGACGAGTTATAAAAAAGAACCAAACAGAAATACTGAAGTTGAAAATTACCAAAACTGAAATAATTCACCAAGAGACACTCCAACAGGTTTGAAATGGCAGAGGAAAGAATGAAAGAAGTTTAAAAAAGAGCAATCAGAAGGGAAGAAAGAAAAAAAAAATTTAAAGAAAACAGAGCCTCAGAAATCTGTAAGGCATTAAAAAGAGGCTGAAAATATATTACAAGCAAAAATGGTTGAAAACTTTTGAAGTTTAACAAAAACATTAATCTACATTTCCAAGAAACACAGTAGGTTCTAAGCATGATAAATCCAGAGAGATCTATACCTAGAAAAATCGTAGTCAAATCATTGAAAGACAAAAAGGAAATCTTAAAAGCAGTAATAAAGAAAAGGGACAATAAAGACAAGAACAGCTGAATCTGTATCAGAAACCAAGGAGACCAGAAGCAGGAAGTTGAATGTTCTAAGTGCTGAAAGAAAGTTTCTATCTTGCAAGAATTACTGTTCTAAAATGAAGATAAAGATATTCCCTAATAAGAAAAAATTGAGAGAATTCACTGTGAGCAGGAACACAAGTAGAAAGTGCAAAGGACATCTTTACGCTAAAATAATCAGACAAGAAATAAAGAACACGGTTATAGGTAATTGTACAGGTCAATACAAATAGAGTATAAATAGACTTTCATCTTTTTTCTCAACTGATTTAAAATAACTATGCAACAGTGGTTGTATGGTTGTAAGGTGAGGTTCACATAGGGTGCAATGTCCAGGACAGTGACAGTACAAGAGGGGAGAGAGGAGCCAGGCATGGTGGTCATGCCTACAGTCCCAGCACTCTGAGTGGCTGGTGCATGAAGACTGCAAGTTGGAGCCAAGCCCGGGCAAGTTAGTGAGACTCCATCGCAAAATAAAAAATTAAAAAGCACTTCAGCATGTAGCTAGTGTGAAGGCTCTGAGTTTAATTCCCAGCACAGGAGCATGGAAATAGAAGGGAAAGGACAGAGCCACACTGGAATGAGAAAATTATTCAAGCAATAACACATATCCCTTGGAAAAAAATAAGAGCCAGAGATGGTACAAATGTGAGTTACAATAAAAAAGCCAGTCACCAGAAGCACTTAGATGAGGTATCTACAGTGGGCAAGCTCACAAAAATAAGAAAGTGGAATGGAGCTTGTTAGGGGATATAGTCATGGGAAGATGGAATTACTCACTAGTACAGACTTGCATTTTTTTTTAATTGAGTTTATTGGTACAATCTAGGTATATAATACTGTTACATTCATCATTGGGATTCTGTACCTTCACATAATAGGTCTTGATTCTCATTTTTTCCCCTTGTCCCTGCCCTCCCTTCACCCCCTCTTCCCCTCCCCATTTACAAACACTTTATTTCCATTTTTTCAGTTTCTCATATCTTTTTCCTCTCCCTTATTACCTTTCCCCCACCCTTCCCACTTGCCCTACACCTTTAGCCCTTTACTTCCTATTTCACATTATTAATTATCTCATTAGGATCCTGTGTACTATTATAGTTTTCGCACCAAAGAAACTATTTGGTATTTCAGTTAAAGAAATCTCTGTATGAACATTAAAATAGGGAACCCTAAAATAAAACTAAAAAGGAAAGTAAAAGAGAAAAGGCAATGATGTAACATTAAAATAATCCTTAATTCTGGAGATGAAAATGGTGCCCGAACATATTTAAGTTGCTCCTTGCTCTTATAGTCTTATCTTATTCTTTTTTTCATTATTTAGAGAATACTTTATTAGTTTCTGTAATCAAACCCACATAGATATGACCTTACATATATGGCTGTCCATTTCTGTACAATGCCAACTCAACACAGTAAATTGGGATGACTTTTTCCAAAGTTGG